GCATGGGATTCCATTCTCCATCCAAAAAAAGCATTTTAAAGCTTTTTGTTAAACACATAGCAGTAGTTCAGCACTTTCTCCTTGTGTCATTCCATTGTTATAACACAAATAATGTTTTAGATTTTTTTGTTTTGTTTTATTTTATTTGCATTTTTTGATTGTTTGGGTTTCTCCTAAAATCTGGATCAATTTTGTCAACAGCTCCTTTAAAAAATGTATTTACCAGGAAAAATCATGCCATGCTTAATGTTTATTTTACCCACTGAAGAGGCCACACAAATGTGATTATGATCATCTTATGCAAGATGTAACATTTGACATATGATACAATTCTACCAGATGGCTTGAATAGCTCTATGTACAAAAACATCATTATTTAAGATTGATAGGGATGAAAGTGAATCTGCATAAAATATAATAAACAAATTACAAGCATAAATAAATACAATACAGCAGACATAAAAAGTGAATGAAAAAGTGCTTTGGTGACTTTTTCAGTGACTATTGCGGATGGACAAATTGCGATATCAATGTTGAGAGAAACAATACATTGTGCAGCCCTAGTATCTGAAAGCTTCTAGAAGAATCCATAAAACAATGAGCTTTTGACAATGTGATGTATAAATTATACTGCACACACATTTTGCAACTCTACACAACACAGTTGTAGCAAATAGTTTCATGCACCTCCTCACGCATGAGCATTAGCAGAGCAGCAAACAGCTCCCAGACACCGCTGTCCAAATTCCCAGGGGACCAATTAAAGCTCTGTCAGATACCTGGAAATCTTCCATTCCCACAGGAAAAATCCCATGTTGTTTCAGGTAAAAGAAACGGTTGGTGCTAATCTAAATCTAAACACTTAAACCTTTTTTCTTGCCTTTAATAATGAAAGAATATACATGACGAAGTGAACAGAAAAGGATAGAAATTTCACCAGAAGGAAAATTAGAGTAGTTTCTTCATTGTCGTCGGGCATTAAGTGCTGGCAAGGGACGAAGGATCAGAGATCTAAATGCTGTCTGCAGTCTGTATAGTTAGTCATTCAGAGTCTTCAACACCACGACTGAGTGCCAAAGCCTCTCATCTCAGCAAACACTTGCTTTGCTTGCTGACACAATTATTTCACTGATTCTCGGGTACTTGAGTAGCACAAACAGGCCTCAAAACCAAAAAAATTCAAGGAGCCTTTTTACATAATCTGTTGTTCCCCATTGTTCGGTTATAATCTCCTGCTCCTTCCATATCGTCCTTGCCTATTAATTATGAATCAACACCCATCAGATGCATAAATAACGTGTCAAATGAAACATAAATATTGACAATTGTAGCATTCACGTCAAAGAATTAATGAACTGACACAACATGATGCTTGATTCGAAGCACCATCTGTTGAGTTTGCACCACCATCAGATAGAAAATGTAACTGTTAATGTAATAACTGCATTACACATATCACACATATTAAAGCCATTTTGTTAGCTTTACCACCAGTTGGACCTACTTAAAATCAGAGAATATATTTTATATGATTGTATATGATTTTTTTCATACATGCAGGTTATGGGTTTAAAATTTGCCTCAGGGAAATCTGTTCATCCAAGCTGTCATTTAAAGTATTTATTTTTTTCTATTAAAAATCACATATCTAAATAGCAAATTAGGTTTTTTTTCCTAGCACATAATGAAATGGAGCAGGTATGCAGATCATGAAATTTTTACTACTTGAAACTAGTGGTGTAACGGATCACAAATCTCATGATTCGGATCACATTATGGTTTTTTAGTCATTTATTTCTAAATTAGCCAAAAAGCGGAGGAGACAAATGTAATCTACTTTCCATTTATTACAAAAACAGCACTGCAAGCAAACTTTGTTTTTAACACAGGGAACTTAGAATCTGTAATTTTATTGAAAATAAAACAAAGAAATATCAGCTGAATAAAAATAAATAGTAAAATATTCAGTACTGTGGAAAAATTCACTGTTACTACTGTTGCTGATAAAGCCCAAAGTATGAATCTTAACATTATAATTTGTACAAATCATATTTTTTTAGGCTCAATTTTCAATAAATGGTTCAGTTATTCACCCATAAAAATTCATGTATCATTGCTAGATGGATCATTGTTGAAGAATAATTCAGTGGCATATTTTTGATGGCCACCTATTGGTAAAATAATGTAATTGCTGCCTACAACTTTCTTTTTTGAGCGTCGTTAAATGCATACGACGGTGGTTTTAATCTTAACCGTAAACATCAGTGGTTTTATCTAAACTATAAAATGTTATTTGACTGTTTCTAACTTCATAACTAACTCAAAAGGCTAAAGACTGAATCTCTTTCTCGATTTTTGTGTTTTTCAAACACAGATTTGAATGCAGCAATTCGAAAGATTAACATACATATGCACATATCTATTATGTATAATTTATGTTGCGTGGTTGTTGATATCCCGATCTTTTAATGACTAATCGTGCAGCATACACTGAATGCATTAATGCAGGCTAAACAAGTAGTGACAAAAACACCTTTAAAAACCTCAGAAACCCACCACATCCCAAATAAACCCACCACAACTTCTTCTGTCATCATTATATTGTACAGGAAAGCCGAAATGTTTTCATATATGGGATTTGAATGACGTGAGAGGAAATCTCTCTGTGATTCTTACAAATTTAGGATTAATTTATAAGTTAAAAAAGTATTATTTTAATCCTCGGGTCACTTGTCTTCCAAACAGGGGTTGTGATTATACGAAACAAACACATTCAGCATTATTTTTGTAATCCTATGAAAAAAATACATGAATAGTGCTTGAGCATCACTGGGTATTTAGCCATGACTTTGTCTGACCAAAAGGCATAGGTGGTACAACATTGAATGGAGGTGGTCAACTCATAATTCTCTTTCTAGGAAAAAAAACCTGCAAATGTTTTCCTTTGTTGTCATTTTATATCAGGGTTATTCCACAAAATATAATTTTGTTGCTTAAAAAATTACAAAAGCATCTCTTTAAATGTGGATTTGGTTTTGTTATTTTGACCAACAGTTTAAATCCTGACAATGTTTTTTTTGGGGGGGGTGGTAAATTTGATCTATATATTACAGAACAAAGCAAAAATGTAATTTTACTTAAGAACTATGAATCTTTCAATTCAAAAGACTGACCATTTTCAAGCAGTTGCTTAATATTTTTCCTTACTTTAAAAACATTTATACACTTACAGGCCACTTTATTAGGTACACCTTACTAGTACGGGGTTGGACCCACTTTTGCTTTCAGAACTGCCTTAAATTCTTCATGGCATAGATTTAACAAGTTACTGGAAATATTCCTCAGAGATTTTGGTCCATATTGGCAAGATAGGATCGGCTGCACATCCATGATGCGAATTTCCCAGTCCACATGTCAATAGTGCTCTATTACGAGTATTACGAACACTACAATTTTCTAATTTGAATATGTAATCCAGATTACATGTAATCAGATTCTACACTCATACACCGTATATATTTCTTCTTAGATTTGTAAATTTTCATTTACAGCTATAAAAAAATAGTTATAGACGGGTGTTTTGGTTATAGTGCGCAACAATATCGAAACGTTTTTTCCACATAAAATTAAAATAAAGGTTACATTTAGGTCAAGATAAAACATTAGGAGTCTGATTGATTTCAACGTGGAATTGTTGCACTGTTCAAAACTTGCGTGTCTCTCTTTGTCCCAGATCTCAATGTTTCTTTGTAAAGTTGCAAGTGAACAAACATGTTTTTAGTCGTGGAATGTTGTCAACGATATAGTTCACGATCATCGAGTGATCATGAAAACTGTCAGTATTTAATTAAAAAATAAATCTTTATTTTAAAATTAATGGATTAATGATGGAACAACACATGTTAGTCAGCTCTTTAATGAGGAAGGTCTACTGCTCAGATACAAAGAATTTCTCACAAAATACAAAACTTCTTAAAAGTTTGCAATCACTATAATAGGTGCTATTCCTTCTGGATTATACATGCTTTTTAACAACAATACAGCATCACTAGGACTTGTTACCATTCCAGAACTGATTAATACACCAATTGGTAAAATTTGATTTGGTAAAAAGATAAATAAAAACTATACAATAAAAGCTCTGTCAGTTCATCAAAAATGTACCACATTGGAACATTTTTTTGATCATTTATACTGGGAAATTTATGGTCCATACAGCATTTTTCCCCCTTCTAATAAGTTAAAGGTAATATATATTTTAAATTATCACACAACATTCACCCTGTCAAAAAGATTTAAATCAGAACTTGACACAACTTGCTCTCTTTATCAGAATAATGTGAAAACTCTTCCTCGCTTATTTGGACATGCAAACATGTGTCCCAATTTTGGCAAGGTGTTGATTTGATTATCTCAAATATTATTTTACAGAAATTTTCTGTAAATCCAAAAGAAATTATTTTTGTTGTTTTCATACAATTGCTAATGTCTGCTTTATAATAAACCTTATTCTAGTGTATTTATGTCGATTTTTATATTACTAAATGTAAATTTTCAAATTGCAAGCCCATTTTTGTTGCGTTTATGCAGGAGATTAAAAATTACAATTCCAGATTCATTTAACAATAAAGCACTCAAAACGTAGACAATGTGCAAATGTATTATGTATAATCTATTAGATCTCTATATTGCTGTTATCTATTTATTTTGCCCTCTTCGTCTCAATATTTTCGTCTACTTTATTTAACCTCAGTTCAGATAACCTATTGATATTTATTTGTTTTTAATTTTGATTTATGATGTATTTTTGCTCCTTTCCCCATTGTAAATAATCTAATGATAATTACTGTAAATGACGTGTACCAAACGTACAATATCCAATTATACAATTAACGTTATACAATAAATGTTTAAACACAAAACTGTCACACGTGCCTTAAATCCGCTCTGAGACGGAGCACCGCGGCTGTTATAAAGCTGTAGGAAAACGAAGCCCTTACCGAGTGGTTCACTCCCCACATCAAGACGCTGAGCAGCGGGTCGCTGGCCCGAAACAGCTTCACCTTCTGAGACACGAAATGCTGCTTCTTCTTTTTCTTCTCGGTTTTGGTTTTGCTGGCGATGGATGCAGCGAGGCTGCTGGCTGCAGAGGCCATGTTTAACACCGGGTAGGCTCGGATGAATGAAATCCCTCTCTGCGCGTGGCACTATGGCGATGTCTTGACACAAGCTGTTCACGATCAGCAGCGCCCCGCCGGATCTCGACACGCTCTTCGTCCCGTTCGTTATTCAGTGCATCGCGTTCACGCATCCCTCTGCAAACGCGCAGCGGAAGAATGATGAAAACTCTCGGAAATCCACCAACTCACACCAGCTAACCGCTAGCTGTCATTGACGTTAGCTTGAAGGTTACAGTTGGCTGGGATGTGTGCTCTAACGTTACCAGCTCATTCACACTCACACTTCTGTAAAACTAAATCGGTAAAGCATCCCACAAGCTCGAATGAACGATATCCTTTTCCATCGTGTGGTTACAAGTCAAATTTAACCAACTGTAAACAGTCCCACAGATTCGGGATGCAGATATTTCACACCAGTCCTCTACAAAAAGGTGTGTCGCCTCATTTAAATCATGGCGAAAACCGTTAACAGGCGTAGCTTCCGTTTGAACCCCTCCAAGCGTTCAAAACCAGTAAAAAATCGACTAAATACAAATAGGAAACAACTATTGTCCTGCAAAAGTCAAGTCCTGATGAAGCCCAGGCATCAGCCGTCCACTGCGCCTGTATGCAGCAGCTGGACCAGGCTTTACTGCCTCTCTGACAGCTCTGCTTTAGCTCAACTCAGCACGTTGACACATAAATCTTGTGTTTCACGTAACGCTATTGGCCCGGCGCCACTCGCGCGTGCATGCGGCTACAGCATGATGAAATCCGAGAGGTCCTATTGGTTCCAGCATCTCGATATTAATGGTTTGGTCAGTAATATAAATCATCTTATGGTCAGTCTGCGGCGATATTTTTCCCCTTCTGTTTCGGTAATCTAATCGAAGTCCACACAAAACACGTCGCCGAGGACGTAAAACCAAACAATTCCATAGGCTACCACGTACCTGCGGCGTAAAACAGCGTAGGTGGATTTAATCAAAATGTTGGATTATCAGTGCATCTAAAGTCACATGCATGCCATCTTTTAAGTATAACGAGTAGGCCTATTTTGTGCGCATATACATACAAGCATGAATATAAGGAAACCTAAATCTAATTAATTTTACGTGCGCTAATTTATTTTAGCTTATTACAAACCAGTTCATACATTTATAAATAGACCTGTATTTTATTTAAATTAAACACATGTTGTACACTGATTCCCATGAGAGGACTCGTATCAGCAGCCTAATGAAATATTTATATTGAGCGGGTCGCCTCATGGGGGCAGACATGTTTTAGCTATCTCGGTTGCCTTGTATAATAATTAAACCTGATGGCAGATCGAGCTTTTTGCAGTGACATTAGTCAATGAAACCACATTAGTTTTCTTCCACAAAGGTAGCAGTAGCCTAATTATAACTGAGATGATGCAGCATAAACAAACTGAGTACACCTATTTACTGGCAATGCACTTTTATTCTGTCTTTCTTTTAAGGTTTGTGTTTCTAATAGTCTAACATAAACATAGCCATGCGAGATTAAAGGGACAGTTCTCCAAAAAATTAAATGTTGGTTATACTTTCTTTCAAGATGGATTTACACTGATTTATGATAATCCCATATGGTTGTAGCCTATAGCTTGCCAGACTGTATTAACATGTTCGTACTGTCACACTGTAAGATCTCAGTGGTCACAATGTCAAAGCTTACAACAATCAAGATGCACCAAACACGAACAAGCAAGAAGTCTCATCTGGAGTATGATGTCATCCATCTGTGACACCTTCAGTAACCTATATATTCTGAAATGGTAGGCTACCTTACAGCAGCATGTACAACATGTAGCTTTACTTTTGTTCCATAACATGTCTTGATAATAAAACAAAACCACAACAACAATTAAAAAAATCTTTATAGTGTTTTCAAATTGTCTCACTTGTGTCATCAGGTTTGCGCTTAAGGCTATCAAAGATACAAGTATTTATCCAAATTAAAACATCAACGAAGATTTTTAGCTGCATTTATGGAGCGAATATTATGCCAAAACAATCTGAATTTGAATTGTGTTAATATTCAAGTTATGAAATTCAAATTAACAAATTAAAATTCAAAACAAATTGTAATGGCATATAAAAATTCACACTTATTAAATTACAATTGTTAATAATTCAAATGAACACAATTCAAATTCAAATTGTTTTGGCATATTATTAGCTCCATACTTTTACACGTTTATAAATTGCAGTGAAGTTAATAAATAGTTTGCTAAACATTATCTTTAATGTTTCTGATGCACATGATGTAGCAATAATGACATATACAGTGCTCAGCATAATTGAGTACAATTACAAAGTACAAGCCAATGCTGTTCTAATACAGGCCGATCTACCGTTTGGAGAAACAATACAACAAGCACACTCCTTTTGTAATCAAACAGCATAAGCTCGGCATCAATTCTGATGTTGTTTCCAAAGGCTGCAAATTGAAGGTCATGTTGTAAATAATTTCAGTTTCTTGCACAAATCAATCATTTGCTTCGTAAGACCTCAATGTACAAATCACAATAAGAAATGTACCGTTGCATTAAAACTCATTTGAATAAATACATTTTACAAATACAAATAAAGATTTACGTTTGTACAAAATGATTAACCCTTTAACAGGCATCATATCCATAGGTTATCATTGTTTTTTAATTGCTTATTAGTTGTGTTCAACAATTGATTATTCAATCCAAGTGTGGTGTGGGCCAAGAAAAATAAACCTTAAAGGGTTAATGTAAAAATGTAAATTTTGAATGTGTGTTTTTAAGGCTTCAACAAACTTGGTAAGACTTTATTTTGATGGTCCCTATTGCACATTTTGTTGACCAAAATTTGCATTGCAACTACATGCCAATTACTTCTCATTTGATTATTAGTAGACTGTCTGCCTATCTGCTGATACAGCTCCTTCAACAGACATTTAACTGATTATAAGAAACTTTACACTAATCCTAACCCCAACCTAACAGTGTACTTATAATCTGAGGAGAATTAGTTGGCATGTAGATGCAATGTAACTTAAATTCAATAATAAATGATGTTAGCATTACTTAAAAGCACAGGTTTCACTGAGTAAAGGAACATTAAAAACCTGCATTATTAAAATAAATAATTACATTTTACTAAAAAAAAAACAGGTTTGATAAATTTAAAACTACAAGTTGAAAATCAAATTTAGTTGATGTTACTTGAAAGTGCAAGTTGAGAACATGCAGAGTCTAATTGGACAAACTAACCCAAAATGAGTTTGAAATACTTAAAAAGCTTACATAAATAGTTGCCTTAATTTTTTAAGCAAAGCAAACACAGTATTTTTTACAGTGTATGGTCTGCAGTATTTGTCCAGTCTAGGCTAAAGAAATTGTGTATTTGCTCTTTGTTCAAACTTTTATTATTATAATTATTTAACTTATTTAAAATGAGCTGTAACAACACAATTCTATTTTTTTTTTTTTGCAACAACTCAATAGTTTTATGTTCAATCCACCTAAATTCATTCATTCATTCATTTTCGGCTTAGTACCTTTATTCATCAGGGGTCGACACATTGAAATGAATCGCCAACTTATCCAGCAAAGGTTTTACGCAGCGGATGCCTTTCCAGCTGCAACCCATCTCTGGGCAGCATCCATACACATTCATTCACACTCATAAACTAAGGACAATTTAGCCTATCCAATTCACCTGTACTTCATGTTCTTGGACTGTGCGGGGAAACCGGAGCACCCGGAAGAACCCCACGTGAACATGGGGAGAACATGCAAACTCCACACACAAATGCCAACTGACCCAGCCGAAGCTCAAACCAGCGACCTTCTTGCTTTGATCCGACAGCCCTTCCCACTGCACCACTGCGTCCCCTTTACCTAAATTTGTAAAATTAATGTTTGCTTGGTTATGTTTTCCCATGCAACACAAGTTACTCGTGTCTAATCCAACATTTTTTTACAGTGTAGAAACAAAATTAGACAAAATGTGTGCAGTTACATATAACACTGCACAAACATAGAGAAACAACACAGACACAACAGAAAATTCATAGCAAGAGTAGCAGGTGCAAAACACAAACAACAAACATGAATAAAGCTAACAATGAGTTGGAAAGTGTCAGAGAAAAGTATGACTTGTAGTACTGAGACATTATGTTCTGATTTAAATTCAGAAAATGTTATCCTGCTAGCGGCAAAGAGTTCCATAAGAGCCATGAAAATGACCTATTGCCCACTGAAGGAGCCATGACAGATTATATCTAGGTGCAGTGAGAAGATTACACCCTGAAGATCGAAGCGATTGAGATGGAACGCAAGGCAAAAGTAAATCAGCAAGGAGCAAGGCCATTGAGTAATTTAAAGTCAGGCAGAAGAATTTTATAAATAATGTGAGATGACAGGTATAGCCAGTGAAGGTTAAATCAGACAATGGTGGTGTGAGCAGATCACTTAGTCGGGGTTATTATTCTTGCAGTGGAATTTTGAATGTATGTAAGAGAGAAACTGAGTGCACTAAAAAAAAACATTGAAGTAGTCAGTCTGCAGTGTAATAATAGGTTGCACTAATGATGCATCTTTGGGTTATATGGCGAAGGTGAAAAAATGCCATTTTGAAAAGTGTATTAAAGTAAGATTCCAGAGTCAGTGAAAGATCAAGAGTGATCCCCAAATTACAAACAGTGGCTGATGGGAAAAATGTTGTAGAATCAAGATTAAAGCAGAGAAGTCTTTAACTCATTGACACACAGTTAGCGATGTGGTTTGATGGATAGAATCTGAATGGCAAGCAGTATATACTGTATGTACAATATCACAGGAGTATAAGTGAATTGAGTATGGTGGGAGGCGTGTCCCACCAGTGACGATATACAGCTATATCTCAGAGATTTCCCAGTATTTCTTGCAATCAGTTGCAATCAGGAGATCACAATAAATAACCCTGAAAAATGCCAAAGCAAAGCAAACATACCAGAAACACTACTAGATTACTATGGTACAAATACAGCACTACAACCAGTTTTTGTTGGGCTTGTTGAAAGTCTCTTTACAGTCCAATGTTAATGATTACAGAATATGATCTGTATGTGTTTATATGTATTTTTATATTCTGGGTAAGGCGTACAACTAAAAAATGTTCACCCAATTAAATATTGCCGGGCCGACAATAATTTCCCGGAATTACTCCCATAATTCAGATGAGTAGCTCAAATTGTGTCAACAAATGCAGATTTGGGCTTTTGCGCATCTCTGTTCACGCATATCATTAGCGTGTGCATGCCTGCATGAGCGCAGCGCGTTCACGACACATACACATTAGACATATGCTGAATTAAATTTTTTAAACTCCTGAATCAATATTGGAGTTACTTTTGCATGACGGAGGAAGGTCTGAGACTGCATTATGTCTGCAGCCAGACTCTGTTGGTGATTTAAGGAGGCATAGCTTTGAAACATTCCCTCCCCTCCCGTCCAAAGCTAATATGCTAACCGATTAGCATTTTGGCAGATCACCTACTGCACCTTTGAGCTACTTGAAAATGTATCTCTCTCCCTCTGTCATCTTTCCATCAAGCAAATTTCTCGTGTTAGCCTAATTTGTTGGCAATGTCAGCGACCAGACCAAGAGGTGGCAGTAACACATCAAAAAGTTTGTTGTCGACCACCGAAAAACAGGTAGGAGTCATTCTCTCCATCATATGGATCAGCTAGACACCGGCCTCACAGCTCAGTGAATGTAGGTGCCATCACTTATTGATCCATGATGGGTAAATGTATTTTGTGGACGCTACTTCGCTACTTGACAAAAAATAGCTTCCCTACTCAATAGCTATTTGATTTAGAAAGTAGCGATGCTACCTCCACGCTACTGAGAAATGTAGTTAGGCTAGAAGCGTCACTAATTGTACTGCCCAACACTGACTACAACATACAAAAGAGAGCGATCGACTTAGAAAGTCACTTATCAGTTTAATAACGATTTAATCAGCTGTAGTTTAACATTACTATTACTGACACTATTTTCCTCCTTTAGGGGGTTATTATGCGGTCTCTGTCGCCATCTTGTGGTGGAACGCTAATCGTCTTTGCTCAATATGACAGGCTGATGGACTGATGGATTAAATATTTAATATAGGCACTATCCTTATAAATAAACTGCATAGTGGCAATCTAAACAACTACAATCTTGCCTAAAAAGCCTCAAAAGTGCATTATGTTGTCCAACAGCTGCAATATTTGTCAAACTGTTGTGAGTTTATTGATCTGCTGGCACTCTATATGGGAGGAATAATACACGAGGGTGAGGAGGCTGTTATTGCAGAATATCAGCCAATCAGATTCAAGAACCAGACAGAACTGTTGTATAAATCTGATTATCATCAGCATGACAATGTAAACCATGATGATAAATAATATATTCAAGAGGCGTCCTAATAAACATTAATGGGCCTATAGTACAGAGCCCTGGGGAACACCCTGTCAAAGTAGAGCAGTATAATTGTGCATATGTAGTATTGCCCTTCAGTAAGATAGAACCAAGATAATGCAGCACCTATAGGACATCTGGCAGGACAGCAGTAACTATTGACAGACCGTATCAAATGCTGAGCTGAGGCCGAGTAACAGGAGAATGGTAAGAGATCATTGATAACCTTTATTAAAGCAGTTTCAGTACTGTGATGCTGCGAATGGAAACCATATTGAAATTTGTCAAACTAGCAAGAAAGAGACTTTTATCTTTCAACCTTTTACATTTTTATTTAAACAAATGGTCAATTTTTTGGACACAGTGGTGGTTAGCACTGTCGCCGAACATCAAGAAGGTTGCTGGTTCAAGTTCTGGCTGGGTTAGTTGGCATTTCTGTGTGTAGTTTGCATGTTCTCCCTGTGTTCGTGTGGGTCTCTCCGGGTACTCCGCTTTCCCCCACAGTCCAAAGACATGCGCTATCTGTGAATTGAATAAGCTAAATTGGCCATAGTGTATGTTTGTGGAGTGTGCATGGATGTTTCCCAGTACTGGGTTGCAGCTGGAAGGGCATCTGCTGTGAAAAACGTATGCTGGAATAGTTGACAGTTCATTCTACTGTGGTCACCCCTGATGAACAAAGGGACTAAGCCGAAGAAAAATGAATGAATTAATGGTAAATTTTTGACTTTCAACATGCAGGAATGGAGCACTGTATGAAGAAAATCATTAATACTGCTACAGAAAAAAACTATATTATCAATTTTAGATACTAGATGATAGAGACAACCACCAGTCAATCCGATCAAACATTTGAAATGGCAAAAAAACTATTCCTAGTGTTCTCCCAAATGCTAGTCTGTCTGTGTTCTGCTGCCCTCTTTAGGCATTAGGATGCCATTATTCTCAATGACTCCTGACAGGTACTCAATATTACGTAAATGAAGAATCATCTAGCTGCAATATTCACGTGTCAGCAGAAAAGTTTTGATGACCAAAACTCATTAACAAAGATCAACTAAAGCATTTTATCAGGCTTTAAAATACATAATTACAAAATTAAACGTGGCACTATCACACGTTTTTTTTGTATTAATAATAATTAATGTGACTCATTTTGACTCACACAGCGTCTACAGGACCGCCAGTTCCCCGTGGTCATTGTTTGAAGGCTCCTCCAACAGTCTCAGTGGGAGATGTTTGTTCAAATCTCACGCATCTTTGCTCCAGTTTCCTCACTGCGAGAGCAGCCGCACGCTGATAAACACGCGCGAATTTAAAGCTCTGCGACATAAACTCGCCACATGCTGCAACAAATCTGACATACCTTTGAAATTAAGCAACAGCTTCTGGATTATCGGAGTTGTCGGAGAAGTTATGCTATTTTCCCAGACCGTCGCAACGGCTTCAAAATGAACCCTCATTGCGCGCGCTGTGGAAAAATCGTCTACGCAACAGAGAAAGTGAACTGCCTGGATAAGGTACATTCTCTTTTCTTAAAAACATATTAAGTGATGTGTATCCCAATATTTTATAAACATCTATCCCTATCATATATGATAACTCGTTGGATTAAGCTTTCACTGTTTTACAGTATTGGCACAAAGGATGCTTCCATTGTGAGGTGTGTAAAATGACTCTCAACATGAACAACTACAAGGGATATGAGAAGAAGCCCTACTGCAACGCGTATGTTGACAAACATTGTAGTTTATTAATTATGTTTGTTGGAATTTTCTGTCTAATGGAAATTGTTGACACTGTTTTAGCCTACCTATAACCTGCAATGTTTTTTATTTTCACTTGAATACACTATAATTATTGACATTGATGGTTCCACATACAGCCTTTTATAACAATGGCACATTTTCATGCTGCAAAACATTGTGTAAATGATAATTTTAGATTATATAAATGTCAAATAAATTTTTATGCTAGGTTAACAAAGGTTCTGTGGGAAACTAAAATTGGTTCTTTGCTGCAAAAACCTTGTGTTTAATGTCTCATCTCCTTTCTCCATAAAGGCACTACCCAAAACAGACCTTTACTATAGTGGCAGACACTCCTGAAAACCTTCGACTGAGACAGCAAAGTGAGCTCCAAAGTCAGGTAAGATCACTTCTTCACACACATTGCAACCACATGATGAAGGAATATTTTGAGAATAATCTTTAAAATTTGAAGTTGGCATATCCCGGGTAGGAATGTTATTTGTTGCTGGTATAGACATTTTAAGGGGAAAATCGTGAGACAATTGCTCTTGTTTTTATCCGAGCGAGTGTTTTGTTTGCCAGAGAGGGACTGGGTGTGATACTTTGAGGTCAGCATGGAGAAAAGCAAGGCAGCTGTCGGCTCTGTGGTGCACTGGCTGATCCCCTTGGTGTCTCCACCTGGCATCACAAAAGATGCTGCCAAGTCCATTCTGAAGCCGACCTAATGCTGGCATGATGACAAAAAAAACTATTTTTCTTAAGGATCGGTCAGCATGCTTCAAAAATGTTTTGCGCACTTGACTACACAACATTGTACCTATTGCAGGAACTACTTCTCATATTTAGTGTTTCTTTAAGACTGCTTTATGCTCACCAAGGCTGCAATCCACATAAAAAATAGATATCTTAAAATAAACTTAATTTCATCGTGATACTTTAAGCTGAAAAACCATATCAGCCAAGTGATGAAATGTTTTTCTTTTTTTTTCAGGTGAAATACAGGAAGGATTTTGAACAGAGCAAGGGACGGGGCCTCAAATTTGTCCTGGATACTCCTGAGCTACAGAGACTGAGGAAGGCCCAGGATCAGATCAGTAATGTATGCTTAATAATTCAGGAAAAAAAAAGATGTAGCTAAATGGAAGTGTTGGGGGGTGGGGGTGGGGGGATAAAATGAACATTTAATTACTTATTTAATTTATGTTTAATTAGTTAGCTGTGGTTTTTAGGTATTCAAACTGGAGCAGGGACCCACAGAGGGCCACAAGTTTTAGGGATCTGAGGAAAGTCTGGAGAAAAAGCATAAAAATTATGCAAATAAACATAATATAAATATATAAAAATGTAAAATAATAAATATTAAGATAAAAACTGATACATAAATTACATTAATGAATAATAAACAACTTGATTTATCACAATACAATACTAGAAAAGCGAGTAATGTCATACACACTTCATATTTTCAAAATAATATTGTAAAACAATATTCTTCCAAGCACAATGACAATGATGGTCTTCCCAAGAGTAGAAAGACTAATATTGTTAAATATTACATGTGAATACTGTAACATAAACTGAAATGTATTCAATTTCAACAGCATTAATCCTTCAGAAATCATACTAACATGTGCACGAAACGTGTGGCGTCTCTCTTCTTTTTACAGGCGAAATATCATAAGGACTTTGAGGTGTCAGGTCTGCAAGGGGTCACTCAGGGAATGCGTGGGACGTACGCGGTGCGATCTCAGATGACGCCGAACAATGAAACTGTGGCTAACAGCACACACAAGGCTGTACATCAGTACATTATGGAGATGGACCGAAGACCTGGTGTTATCGTGGGTAAGTTCTCTACTCACACATCGTCACCTTAGAATTGTCAGGTTCTATCTGACATTTTTGTCAAAATTGAGCTATTGACATAATCTTATTAAATGTCAACTTATTTACATTATGGGTTGTTTTTTAAAGTTTTTTTACATTAACACTTTTTAATAAAAAAACACAAACGTTACACACATACTGTTTGCTATGGAATGCTAAAACTTCTAAAGCTCATCATCTTAAAATCATTCAGAACAATGAATTAGGGATAACTCTGTTAAGCTGTTAACAAAAAGTTAATTAGATCAAATTAACGCTTATAAAAATGAACAAATTATTTCAGCAGACCATAAACAAACCCAAAACAAGTCTTTGAATACTACTGTATTGTAATGTATATGTAACAGTTATGATTGTGATAATAATGTCACGTTTTCACAATGGATAAAAATAAAGCACAAAGTCAAACGTATCTCTCACTCAGTTTTCAATATGTATATGGATTATCTGTAGCACATTCTTATTATTTAAATTGATCTGTTTCAGTGGAAGTTACCCAAATCAGAAGTGCATATCATAATTTGAAACGCAGGCACAAAGGATAAACAGCAACTAAAACAGCACACTATACTATTCTTTTTTAGCACCTGTTCTTCCTGGTGCATACTATCCCAACAGTCACAGCCATGGCCACAGCTATATGCATCAGACCAGTATGCATTCACTGAGGTCAATGCAGCTGAGGTCCCAGCAGATGAGCATGGTGAGTCCATTCCTCACGTTTCTTTTAAATTACAGATTAGTGATAAATTACATCTTGTTGGCTCAGTGGTCGCCTCACAGCAAGAAGTTCGCTGGTTCCCAGCTGGGCCATTTGGCATTTCTGTGTGAGGTTTGCATGTTCTCCCCGTGTTTGAATGGGTTTCCTTCAGGTGCACTGGTTTTCCCCACAGTCCAAAGACATGCGCTATATGTAAATTGAATAAACTAAATCGGCCGTAGTCTATGGGAGTGTGTGTAAATGAGAGTGTGTATGGGTGTTTCCCAGTACTGGGTTGCAGCTGGAAGTGTATCTGCTGCATAAAACATATGCCAGAGTAGTTGGTGGTTAATTCCGCTGTGACGACCCGATAAATCAGGGACTAAGCCAAAGGAAAATGAATGAGTAAATGAATATGACACCCTTATCATAAGATGTTAATTAAAACTCTGAAGTCTACAGATTTTCTGTCAATTTTCAGCTCAAGTGTAGCACAGATCATTTATTAAAACTTGTCAAATTTACACATTTGGGTGATCAAAATATTTTTTGCATCACTTGATATGCAAATTAGCTGTTGCTTTCCAGAAGAGGGTGAAGCCCTAACCAGCTATTATATATATATGAGCAATATATATTGCGTTTATACAACAGTTTGACGGCAAAATTGTGTATATAAAAACAAAATCAAACACGGAGAGTCTCAAAAACCCTTTTGTATGAGGAACTACTTTCTTCCACATTGGATTCAAATCATAAGCTGACAGTTAAACAGTTGTTAAAACCGTTAAAAGCGTCTTTTAAACTTTAGATCTGTGTCTGCTTTTTGCTAGCTGTATTTGTGCGGAGTAATACACAAAGGGTAAAGAGGCTGTAGGAGTTCTGATATTGCAGAATATCGCACAGCCAATCAGATTTGAGAACCAGACAGAAGTGTTGTGTATGTATATATATATGTATATATATGTATGTATATACATATACACACACACACACACACACACATATATATATATATACATATATATACATATATATATATATATATATATATATATATATATATATATATATATATATATATATATATATATACATACATATACATATACATATATATACCTTATCACCTTTATCACCTTAAATCACAAATAAATTAACTTGTCTGATGTTAGTAGTAAATGCTGCTAGTAAAAACTTGCTGGAGATGATTTCCTGCTAATTACAAAACCGGCTTTACTAAAAAAAAATGCACAAACAATCACCTTTGATTAATCGAGCAGCTCTAATTAGCAGATTATAACCTCACTGATGAAGCAGCGGCACTGGGGTGGAAACATGCAAATTAAGAGGCAGTAATTTATTGCAAGATCCCCTTCGTACAACTGGAACCCAATTATAGAACTTAATGCAGAAAAACACACTGTAAGGGTATGTGACCTTTAACAATGCATTCAGAAGTGTAAATAACTATTAATGCATGCACCTGGTCTGCAGACTGTGTACAGGGCTCTGTATGACTACATGGCGCAGGACTATGATGAGGTGTCATTTCGGGACGGGGACATCATTCAGAACGTGCAGCCGATCGATGAAGGTTGGATGTATGGTACAGTACAGCGGACGGGCAGATCAGGAATGCTGCCTGCCAACTATGTTGAGGGCATTCGCTAGAGTTCCTACAGCACATCTGAATCAGAATTGTTCATAGGCATCAAATGGTCACAGGTACAACTCTATTTTAATAGTGCTAATTGTGTTTATAATGTTATATTTTTTTCATTTTGTTACTCTGCATTTGAAGTGAATTTACATTACCTTTTGAAAGTCTGGGGTCTGAAAGATTTGTTTTTTTAAACAATTAAATATCTTTATTAGATAAAAACTGCTTTGTTAAATAAGATGTTTTTGAATACATGTGGTTCTTTTAAACTTAAGTCATCGAGTAATCCTGAAAGTACAATAAAAACAAAAAGAAAAATCACTGTTTCAACAACAACAACAAAAAAAGTTTATAATGGATCAGAAATCAACCTCTTCCATTAAAGGTGATTTTAGGGGCATTTTTAAAACCATAAACCCATTTTTATTTTAATGTATAATTATATTTTACTTAATGTTCTTAATGCAACAAATCGCAAGAAATCTTGTTCAACATCTGAAAAATTCGAAAAAAATCTTTTTTGAATGATTTCATTTCAACTTTGACAGCTTTAATATGGATATGGACACACTGGGGTGCAGTTTTTGCACATGTCCGTGTTTATGAATAGATTACACCATAAAGAACATGAGTAATCTTGACAAACTATACAACAGTCTAAAGCTACATCCCTCAAGCAGCCATTGTAGCTAGCTAGTTGCTTTTCAATGGGAAGCTTGTAAAGATTTAAATATATATTATAATGTTACTTAATATAACAAATCGTATGAAAACCAATTTAACCTCTGAACAATTCAAAAATTAAATTTGTTTTATATTTCACTTCAATTTTGACAGACTTTATAGATTTGTTTTAAGATAACTTCTGACTCTGAGGTAAAATTCTGATAAAGAATGACATTAATATGAAACGTTTCCTGGAAAATAATTTTAAAAAAATCTATTTACTGTAAAATTGTAACAGTATTTCATACAAGTCTGAGAGACTTCATCCAAAAAAAATAAAATAAATAAATCGTACAGTCCCCAAACTTTTAAATGGTAGTATGTAATGTAATGACAAGTTTTGTACCAATATTGTTTTTACTTGATAAATGTGTCGCATACAAAATGTAAAGGATTGTAAAGAGGATTAAATATGGACAAATAGCATTATTTTTAACAGCATGTTGCTCTATAAAACATCAATATCTGTGTAATATGTTCTGCATATTAAATGTTGTGCAAAAAAACCCTGAATTTTCCTTCTACATTAAAGCATGACATGTTTAAAACACCATTCAAGTCCTGCAATCAGAGAAATGTGTATGTTTATTAAAAACAATACTTCCTAATAAACATTTCATAAACCTTCACACATTTACAATTGCAGCAAAAGTTCTGAGTATTCTAAGCTGCCATCACCTACAGCATAAACTGAAGCATCTTCATCTCCCCTTCTTCGTTTTTGCAACCTTCTCCTTCCGCTTTTTGACATGCTTTGGCACTTTATTTTTTCTTTTCTCCCTCTGAGCTTCTTTAACCAACTTCTTTTGTTCCTGAAAAATAAAGAAATACAAACTTAATCTCATAACCAGCACACACAACTCACCAGCGCAGACATTTTCTCTACCTTTCTGTCTGGTTGCGCTTCAGTCTCCTCTCCGGATTTCTCCTCGTCGTCTTCATCCTCCTCTTCCTCAGAGCCTGAACTCTCGTCTTTTGTGGAGTCTTCCAGTATTGAAGGAACCTGTCAGATAAACAGACAACATCTGATTACTTATGGTCATGATGATCAAGTTTGGCAACAGCTGTTGTTTTTATTCTGCGTCTTAATCCTCCCACATGGCACGTAGGCATAAAAACTCCAAAGGGACTTCTGTAAAGACTTACTGGGTGCCTTAAAAGCAAAAACAAAGTCTTGGCCACATAAGGCGTCTTAAAACTAAATCATTAGTACACCAAATGGTCTTTTTTAAAAACAAGATTTTCCTTACCGTTTGCACTCCAGAAAGGTCCTTCCTGAGGCCAGTTACTGTTTGATATAAGATCTGTATGGAAAAGGGAATCATTTTTAACCACTTTTATTAATTCACACATTGTTAGTTAGTTAGTTTGTTTGTATGGGCTGTTGAGATGTACATTGTCAGTGTTTGTGTCTTCAGAAGACGTGTCCTCCTTTTTCTTCATCATTGTGTCCACGTCTCTCTCATAATGAGTGACTTCATTTAGCGTCCGGGGAATGTAGGCCTTCTTAAACACCTGTTTTGGGACAAATCAAACGTGTGAATTGTTAGATATGGTTGCAGGACCATTTAGTTTCCATGACTTTACTTTTTATAGGTGTAAACGTTTTAGAGAATGCTAGAAATTTCCATTTTTATATAATAATACGTGGAATCTAGACAATTAATTTACAAATATCTTCTACTCTGACCATCAATGGATCAACTTGTAGTATTACTTTTTATATATACAAAAAATTGGTTTTACATTAATATATTACAATATTAGCAAGATTGTAATCAGTGTTATGTTTAACCCTTGTGTATTGTTCAAAGGTACCTCCCTTTCGTTATGTTCATGGCTGTTTTTGTCCTATTGACAACATTTTTTTATTGCAAAGGGCATGACAGCATGTAATCATGCATTCTTAATTGTTAGGGGTTTTCTCTATTGGAAAGAGGTAAATTGTGTCATTTTTACTGTTGATCATCAAGTGGCACCATTAACCCTTAAGATAGGCATGTGCAAAAAAAGTTTCTGGCTTTTTATATGCTGTTCTATGGAGTACAACAACAAATAATAATGTGCATGCATGAATACACTTACTATGTTTACTGTGTTCTGAGATCAAAGCTGCAAAGTTAAGTATGCAAAGGTTTTTCTTATATGCACGCACTTTTTGCACTGCAGCTGTTGCCCAGAGCATATTGTTGAGTTGTGTAAAACCTTTAAAGCATTTTCCCAAAATATGTGTCAAAATAAGATTTGTCATCAAAAATCATCCACTTTGCTGAAACACATAGAACTTTGTGGGCAAATTAAGACTCAAAATAACCCCCTAGAGTGAATGAAAACATCCCCAACACACACAAGGGTAAATTGATAGTGTTATTATATTTATTCTTTTTTGTTATTAATTCATTTTTTAATTTTGATTTTCTTTGATAAGCTTGCAACTTAAGATAATGTTATGTGCTTTTGTTATCATCATCATTATGATTAATATTATAAAATTAGCTTGGGTACTTTCATTTAGCGGCCAAGTCATCAGTTCTACATATAGTTTGTGTAGCTTTTCCAAGTGTTAACAACAAATTTCACATTGTATAATTTCAATAAAAGTAATATAAAACAGGCTAAATCTAAAGAAATGTTTTTTTCAAGAGTTCACACTTGGATATTGCTTAATAATAACTGCAGGTTTGGCATGCGGTCCTGGGAGAGAACCCTGAGCTCGGAGACAATTGGGCAATGAGCATGTGAGGGGGTACGAGATCAGGTAGTTCTCGAGAGCTTCCCCTGGAAAAGGAGGAAAGGGGAAGATGAGGTGGATGTGGGCGACTCTTTAAAAAAAATGTTAGTCGGGCTATTTATAGTGAGTTTGGAATGATCCAATTGGCTTACCAATGATTACAGATGAGAGACCAGCCGCGATCAATCATATCATGTGCTCCTCTCGAAATTAGTTTGTGAAACTACACTTAATGGTTTTCAGAATCAAAAATAAAGTATAATATTTCTGTTACATTTAAAGTGGCATTCATCATGAACACAATTTATTCTAATCATCAGTTTGGAGCCAGTCCATTTAAAGACATACCAGCACCATGTGTGAAATCCACTAAATAATTCATTCCATGCCTCTTTCCTTCAGCACCAATCCCAATGCGTGCACAATTTGTTTTGCTTGCATGACATTAGGTCATTTAGTTTTATGAGTCCCTCTGGAATATTAGATGCAGTGATGATAAGTATGTATAAATTATTAGCTTTTCTAGATTTGCGTTTTGTTACATGGCTGCAAGGACTTTAGATACAAGGACATAGACAAACGTTAAGAATGGGTAAAAGTAATTACCTCTTCATCAACTTTATCCTGATCGGATCTTTCCTCTGCAGTTCTTTCAGACGCAATCTCCATCGCCTGCAGATAAACCACAAACTCAAAATCAGCATCTAAATAGCTGATGCACACAAGTAAACATGCTGTAATTAAAGGGAAAGTTCACCCAAAACTGAAAATTACTCATGATGGTTTTTTACCTTTCCTTCTTCTGTTGAACAAAAAATAAGATATTTTGAAGAATGTTGGGACCCATTAATTTCCATAGAAGAAAAAAAAAATTAATGAAAGTCAATGTGTGCTATTTTCCAAAATACCTTCTTTTGTGTTCATCAGAGGAAAGAAACTCATAGGTTTTGAACAAATCAAGGTTTAGAAATGATGACAGAATTGTCATTTTTGAGAGAACTATCCCTTTTAGGATTAAATGTTAAAAGTGTCACTCGCTGACCTTGTCCAGGTACTTGTTAATGTTGTCAGTTGTGATGGAGGGATCTGTGACAAACTCAAACAGCTCACGTACAGTCATAACAGCCACATTGTGTCTTTGAAAAAAGTCTTGAGGGAGAAAAAAAAAGAAAAGAATAAAAGGCTATTTATTTGCATTAATATTAAAAAACTGAATCTCTTCAAGGCTATACATGTTTACCATTAACATTGCTGCAATCTTTCCGAAGAAACTCCAAAGCATGAGGGTGATCGTGCTCAACGGACTGAGATACGTCAATAATATAGGCCTCTCCGTTATGATACCTGTTTATCAGAACACAGCAATGATGTGCAAATGATCATCAAACATGAAAGTGCACTCGTTATGCTTTACTTTCACGTAGTGTGCAGCAGTTTCAATAAATTGAATTATTGTCCACTACAATAGCCGTCCAGTCCAAAATCAGGAACATAGCATAAGAGATGCCCTTATTTGTTTTAATGCCAGATCAGTAGCACTGAAAATATACCTTGCAACACTTGTAATAAATATTCCTTTTATAATTTACATTCATAACTGTTTCTTAGCAAAGAGGCATTATATAAGAAAAACATCGAGATAACAACAACTCTGATAAAAGCCATACAAGTGCTTTCAATTTGATCAAAGATAAATATAGTAAAACCCCTTTTAATGGGGACCTATTATGCCCCTTTTTACAAGATGAAAATAAGTCTGTGATGTCCCTAGAGTGTGTATGTGAAGTTTCAGCCAAAATAACCCACAATTAATGTTTAATAACTCTTTAAAACTGACCCTTTTAGGCTGTGACCCCAATTGTGTTGTTTTATTGACTGTTGCTTTAAATTCAATTGAGATTGTGCTCCCAGCACGCTTCTCAAAGGAGGGCGGGGCTACAAATGCCTGTGGGCCAGCATAGTGGTAGATTAAAAAACAAGACCACCGTCCTATGCAAATAAGTGAGAGATCAGCACTAAAGGGCAGGGCTTTGCCCCTTTAATGACATGTAAAATGAAAATGTCCATGTCCAAGTTTCTGGAGACTGTTCCAATGAAATGTGATTATGAGAAATAGCATCAATAAAGGTTTACCAATAGAAACTATATTTACATATTGTTGTCACACAACTGTTTTCAAACCCTTATAAAAGGGATTTTTGCACAATGGGTCCCCTTTAAAAATTTCCCTTAAAATATTTCCTAAATAAAAAAATCTCTCTAAAAAATTCTCTAATATCATTTTAAAATATACATTATATTAAAATAAGTTTTATAGTCAAAATATTCTTACACAAGTCACAAATGTTTCTGTTTCCCTTTCAACAAGTATGAGTGCAAAACAGATTCACTTCCTACACCTCCTACACAAAAAAAACTTGCACTATTAGCATAATTCTAACTTACAGCACATTGTATTCGCTGAGGTCAGCATGGACCAGACGAGCTTCACTGTACATTATTCTCATGTTCTGGATGATCTGCAGGTAGAGTTCACGAGCTTTGGATTCAGACAGGACAGCGTTTTTCAGAAGAGGGGCAGGCCTGAGGAACATATTGATACAATCACTTACAAGTCTCTACTATCATATGGAAGAATATTTTAAAAACTCATAACTATCAGTCGCTTAAAAATAATGGTGTTTTTTTTATTCTTTAGAAAATGAAAGCTGTGGAAAACAATTAAATGCCCAATTCCTTACACATATCACACAAGCACTCCTCATGAGTGTGTGACTATAGAGTTGAACACTAGCCTGGAGTGCCATCTGCTGTTAAAAACTAAGCTCAAAATCGATTCAGGAAAGAATTTTTGGAAAATCTTAAAATTGAAGAATAATCGATTTCTTGAACCATTTTTTGCCACAGCTCTGTTGGGAATAGTGAGAGTAAATGCACACATACGTATCATCTCGACCAATGAAGCTCATGACGAGGACGTGGCTCCGCAACATGATGGGCTCTGGACTTGGAATCTGAGCAGTCTGTAGTCTTGAGATGAAGAATCAGAATTAGATATTAAAAATCAACATCACAAAAGAAATGAGATTATACACCCTGTTTCCACCTGGTATTAACATGCGTGTTCAGACAAAACATGATGGTTTCCACCTGGTTTTATTGTCAAAAAATGTGTCTAAATTTGATCCAGAACCTTCCTCTTATTTCATCATAAGTACTATTGAATGAACAAAACCATGTTGCATATGAGCAAGCAGATTTGTGACAAGTGAAGGGTGATTAAATGATGACAGAATTTACATTTCTGGGTGAACTAGACTACAATTTAAGTAAGAAATAAAGCAAATAGTAGTTTAATTGCCATCACAATATTAAAGCCACAGCAGACTAGTGTACAGGGTGATTCAAAAAGAATACCACAACTTTGAAAGTCTGTATTTAATAAAAAAAAACATGATGGAACCTTTGGTAAATAATCAATGTGAAGAGAACTTACAAGTTTTTTTCAGTAGAAAACAAGTTCATAGATGTTCAATATGACCCCCTCCAGAAACTCAAGTAACATCAACCGGAAAGTTTTGGTATTCTTTTTGAATCACCCTGTATATTAAAAAGGTGTCTTTGAAAAAGCAGCTATAACTGGGATGACATCGCAATCTTTGACTGGCTAAAACAGTTGTTGTCCTGGGTACATCACTTGGTAAAATCCCCATGAGCATTTAATGGCAAATGACAAATGCCAACAAACAATTTGGTCATTCTATTTAGGATGTTTAAAAAAGTTCATACTGCCCTAACAGTTTCCATGCACAATAATGAATTAATTAGAAGGTGACTTATTTCATATATTATGGCAATGCACTGAGGTCCAATATTTCTGCAGAGAGGTGTATGACTGGTAAAGATATCACAGACCCAGTATGACTTTTGTCCAGCATGCTTTGTGAGCCCTATGCCTTAAGTTACATTAAAAGAGCTGAATCGCAGTGCATACAGAGATCTATCACGTAAAAAAAACAAAAAAAACTGGAAATCTTCCACAAATAATGGATCACAGAGTTAGGACGAGAGGCAGCTTCGGAAAAACTTTCCAACAGTTTACATAAAAGGGTTACATTTTATTGTAATAAATGGAGAACATTTTTGTGACCCACAATTTTAGCGTAGCGAGATGAAATAATAATGGCTATGACATTGGCAACACCCATCCCACGCACCTATTGTTTTTGTTTATGGCTGTTTCTCAGTAAATGCATTCCTCAGCGATATTGCGTCCTCGTGTAACATCATCATCAGCAGCCAAAGTTCCCTTCCAAAACTCAAGACCGCAAGAACGGAGGACGCGTAAAAGTTCCCGGATGTGTTCTTCATATCGAGGATGCACTGATGTAGACTTGAAAAGTCCCAGAAGTTGCTTGAGAAGTCCTGGAAGTCATTTCGATGGGTTTAAAGGAGATGGGAAGCACAACATTTGATTTAGATTTATTATTAAAGTTTGAAGATATAACTTATTTATCTCAGGAGTTTCTCTAAACAACATGAAAATCTTAATAAAAGGCATAAACACATTAAGAGTGTTTCTTTGCTGAAATTTGTATTAAGATCTGTTTTATATTTATTGTACAAAGTATATTTGTAAGGTTTTTGTGCATGTTATATATATTGAAATAGAAAAAAACTATAAATTATTGTGTGAATGCTGTAATGTTTAAATAATTTTCAGCTATAAATGCATGAAGCTCACGTGACCATCAGGCAGAACGCAGCATTTCATTTCTCACAAGACGCGTTTTCTGTTCTCGTGGTCTCCCGAGTTCATTTTTTTCCGAGGTGACCTGGCAAAACTGCTCTTTACAAGAATGCAAGTCCATTCTCTGCGTTCTTGAAATTGAGAAACAACCTATGTGCATGTTTTGCTTAAGTTTATTTACACTATTACATCATGTATTATCTAATGTGCATATAAATTTATGACATTATTTTCCTATTAACACTGTTTACAGATTAATACTCTGTTTTTGATATTCTTCTGAAATGCAAACAAGAAAATTAACAAAAAGTACAAATCATGAATAAATAATTCACTAATCCTTCTCAGAGCTAAAAAGACAATTCACGTGAATCCTATCTGGTCCTTGCTCATATTATGCCAAGAGTTTGTTGGAAAAAATTATCACACTGCTCAGACGTTCCACGATCCAACAAACGCCGACTCAACATGTTTAGCCGGGGGAAAACAACCAATGGCAACAGATGCCGAGATGGGGTAACAAACTGATCTAACAAACTCCAACACACTTGTTTGTCAGTGTGAATTGGCCTTTAAACTGTGAAAGCAATCTGATTTGTAATGCATTTTTTGCAAGGTCAAGGTCTCAGACTCTGTTCACAACTGATTTTAGCGTTGTCCACCTGTGAAAATACATCTTAATACCAGGTTTAAGTTGAGCCTAAATCCTCACCTGATCAAGTTTCTCATTTCCTTCTCAGCCCAAGTGCGCACCATTTTTCTAGGATTCCCTTTGCAATACCCATGGCGGAACCTAAAATGATATTCAAACACAGAAATTAACTGTTAAAAAGCTTACAAGAAAGGCTATTTAGGACAAACTGACTGAAGAAAGATCCATCTGACCTAAATTCCCCGCTGACGTATTTATCTCGGTCTTTAAATAGTAGAATTGAGGTTTTGTATATTTTGATGGCTCTGCTTTCTCCTTTAGCAGTGGTTGCATGGTAGACATTTGCCTATAGCACAAAAAAAATATTTTCTTTTACATTAGTTCTAAGTAAAATGACCCAATTGCACAAAATATAAAGAAATTTGAACATTACAGCAGACAAGCAGACTTGCCTCTTTGCCAGTGCTGATACAGCCATTGATCTGTGAAAAGACGCCTCTGCTAAGCATTTTGAACAGAATCATACGTGTCCGGGGGTCCAAAACCTGTGCAGTCACATTAAAGAATGGTTTATCTGTTATAACACTGGAGCTCAACTGAAATCATCACAAACTGAGCTTGAACAAACCAACCTGCTCAACGGTAGCTCTGTCTGATTTATCCTTTACTCGAAACCTGCAAAAAACGCTTGCACTTTTAAACATTTGGAAACTTAAACCTGAATGTAAATCTTATAATAAGAAATGCTATTATTTCTAAATGAAAAAGCTGACAATTTACAATAAGATTTCATTTGTGAGCTGCATTAGTTAATATCAACCTACAATGAAAAATGATACTAAATATAAATCATTTAAAATAACTGTGGTAAAATATGTTTAAGCTAAAATATCTAAAATATAGGCAAATTAAAAAGACTGATAAAGGTTACAGAAGCTCATAGCATTACTGAAAAAAAACAATGAATTTGAGATTGAGTTTGATGATTACATACGTGTCTGCTTCCCTCTGCTTTTGCATCACAGTGACTTTATTGATTACAGAATCTGCATAGCTCAGTTTATCTGCGAAACACAAGACACTTCAGTTAGACCGGGAAAAGAAGTCAATGTTTTTCTCTCCATATAATTATATTAGATTATTTAATTTGTTTCATTTAATTGGAAGTTAAAATATTAACAAGCTTACCAAGGTTTATTTTGTTTTCAAATTTCCTCAGGACCTTGTCTGACGGAGTAGACATTTTTATGGACTTATTATTAGAGTTTTGACGATTAGCCTGATGGAAAGAAAAAGAAGAAAAAAAACTTGCAAATAACTTAACATACTGTAGTTTAATATTAACCAATTGCTAAAAACATCAGATTTGTTGCTATTTGTTAGTCATGTCATTCATTGACTTCAATGGTTCCATATGGAAACTTCCTATTCCAAAAAAAAAAAAAAAAAGGTTCTTCAGATTTTCTACACTCTAGGAAATTAATTGCTTTTTTTTTTAAATAACCATTGACTGAAAGTTTCTTTGAGGAACCAAAATGTTTCTTCTATGACAGTGATGCCCAAAGTAGGGCCGTGGGCCAAAGCTGGCCCATTAGCCGCGTTTCCACTATCGTGCCTAAAGCGAGCGAGCCAGGGCGAGCCAAGGCCAGTGGCGTTTCCACTGTCACTTCCGGGGCCTAATCGGGGCTTTCTTGGGGCCAGCGGCTGGCCTTTTTTGGTCCGCCGAATACCTTGGGCCAAAGAGGGCCAGCCGGGGCTTCGGGGTGGAGTAAAAGGAGAGGCGGGCACACGCCAAACACATAAACAAATAAATAAGAGAAAGAAAACATCTGGAACAAATTATAGGCTGGGGTCTTTTTTTCATATGATCGCCCTTATGTTTCTCTTTTAAATGTAAGGCTGTTGCATAAAATGATTTTTCTTTGCTGCATCTTTGATGTTTTAATAACGCATAATAATCTTGACACCATATTAAAGACACAGCAGACAGTAAAGGTTTTCAAGAGGTTTTGTCAAGTTTAATAAGTGTGTTTTTGTGCGTTTAGATTCCTGTGTGTGTGTGTGTGTGTGTGTGTGTGTGTGTGTGTGTGTGTGTGTGTGTGTGTGTGTGAGACCGAGGAAAAGAGCGCTCCCTTCACAGCTCTGTTGATGCCACGAGCGGCATTTTTCTTTTATTTTTATTGTTTTAATTTATTTTGGAGATAATACACTATATGAATACAACAGAAAGACATTAAACTTTACAAATTTAATGTCCACTTTTGTAGGCTCAAAACAATAGTGTCATATCTAGATAAAATAGCCTAAGCAATATTGAAATAATTTAAAGAATTACAAATATTAGATAGGCCTATCATAAAATCACATTAAATAAATAAACCAATATAAAACTAACAAAAGCTATAGCTATAACTATTAGGTACTATATCAAACTGTTTCAAATTTATATTAAACTTTCATTTTTCAAATGCCTCTTTGAAAAAAAGATTTTAGATATTTTCTGAAAATAAATAAATAAATAAATAAATAAACATCAGAGATTGTTTTAAATATTATTTATAAAGTACTTGGATACGATGAAATTAATCAAATCATGCAAACAGAGCATTTTCGGGGTGATTGAAAGCAGAAATAGGCGACCTTTTTTTCTGTCTGCAGCTGCGCAGCACTTTTTTGACGGGGAAAACTGCAAGTTCAAAATGTGTTCTGTGTCCTCAAACAAGTGTGTATGTTTTTATATAACGTAAAAAAGGACATTTTAAATACATAAAGAGCTTTATTAGTGCATAGATGCTGAGCGCAACTAAATATAGGCTATATTTTATTAAGTGCTACTATGTGCTGAAACACTGAACACTTTCCTTTACTTGAGATATTATAAGCAACATCCTTAAATAAAGGGAATCATCTATTAAGTGTCATAAAGCCTATAGGGGGAAAAATCATGTTTCAGTTCTCTCCGGAGCATTTGGGATGATTGTTGGACAGATTCTGTCTAGAGGATGTTATAAAATACATTTTATATTGAGTTATTAACGGATAATTTTATATATGTGGTGTTATATTATGGATGTGTGCGCTCCCTGCGCTCCGGGTCCCTCCGTTGGTGGCAAGACCACTGGATTTCGATGCCAATGTCGGTCGGCGAGTAAATTAATATGATGAATGAAAACACACAGGCATGTGCGTATAGACATGCGTTGTACTGCTGTACAGGAACGTGTCTTTTGTTTGTTTTGGTTGTAATAATTTTAATAGTTTCGTGATGATGTGGTGTGCTTTATCTGCATGATTCTCGCTGAAGTGGGCGGTTTGAGTGACGTTCGATTCGGGGGATGTTCTGAGGGCGGGGTTTGCGTGACGCGCTGCGAGCTACTAGCCCCACAGTGGAAACGCAACATGATTTCGGCCTCACTGCTCAACCTCCCGGGCGATTGGCCCGGCCTGGCCCGATATAAGCCCTGGCTCGCACTGGCCTGATAGTGGAAATGCGGCTATTGTAATCTCTGATTTGGCCCACCATCCCATCTAAGAACAGAGTGAGAAGGATGGAGAGGGTTGGGGAAAACGCCTTTTAAAGAAAATGTCATTTCTAATTTGATGTAAACTTGTTTTTGTTTGTTTGTTTTATTGCTGAGCTACAAAAAAAGCAAACTGAAATAAAATGTTTCATTTAAATGTTGTAAATTAATCTGATTTTCTAAAATGCACAGTAAATAATGTCTCTCGATGCATAGAGGACTATGCAGAAGACATCGGTGAGCAAATCAAGGCAAAACAACTCCATTCTGTTCTAAATGAGATTGTTTGTACTGTAATAAGTTCATTATTAACTATAAACAAATGATGCTGTGTTAATTAATATAAAGCAATGCTTTCTAGTAATTTTTAAATATTATATAACTAAATTAAGTAATTACCAAGGCAACTATTTTTACCTTTGGCCCACCAGCCTCAATTAAGTTTGATTTTGGCCCTTTATAAGAAAAGGTTTGGGCACCTCTGATCTATGGCATCAGTGCAACAATCTCTTATGAAACCTTTATTTGTATAGTATGTTCTTCCATAATGAATACCTGTGGGTTACACCCAGTCCTCATTGCAGTGTAGCGCTTAGTAAAGTCTCCTCCAGCTGACTCATTCCAGTCCCATTCATCATCATCATCGTCATCATCCTCCTCGTCTTCATCATAGTCTTCCTCATATTCTTTTTGCTTGTTATTTTCAACCGACTGTAAAGTAACTTCATCAAATCGGTTCTCCAGAGAGGGCTTTTCAGGGCTGATTACTGACTCGCTGTGAAATACCACACATTTAACATTTGTGACTAAAACATTCATCTTTATTCCTAAAGTAAACAGTCACATCAGCAAAGTCCTGTCAATTCCATACTGCCCTCAGAAAAATCTAATCTGTGTCAAAGGCTCACAAAGTATACTCCTTATTTTGGTATTTTAAATTAACATTCAATTATCAGCGATAAATAACATTTACAAAACTGACATTGTATACTTAAACATTAAACAGATTAATTACAGAACAATTGACAATTGCATAGATTGTACTTGTAATATTTGATAACAATACAAATTTGTATTTGAAATGATTAAAACAGACAGTAAAACGTGGTTTAAGTGACAGCAGCAAAGTTATAAAGATATAAAATGACAATTACTTAATATTTTCGGGATACACTGTATACACTTAATTAATCTTGATGATTGTTTTATTATTTCGTTGGTTATAAATTTGTGTCATTATGAATGTCATTTAGAAGAATCTTCTGTGAATTATTGTAAAACAAGTCATTATGTAATTATAATATCTATATATCTATCTATCTATCTATCTATATATATATATATATATATATATATATATATATATATATATATATATATATATATATATATATATATATAAACCAAACAAAAAAAAACAGGTCACATTAAAATGCAAGTACGTAAAAAATAAAACAATATCCTTCAGTGAATTACAGCAAAACCCATGAACGCTGTATAGGAGGAAATACATAAACATAATAAGTAAATTACTGTACAATATTATGAACCTGTAATAAATACGACCGACTATATGTCTCTGTTATTTAAACTGATCAAGTTTTATACGTTACGTTACCTTTCATCGGCGTCGTCAAACTGCCCTGGGACGACCTGATACATCGCGGTGCTGTAAGAAAGTTGTATTTAATCTGTAACGGTAAAATGTAATTAAACGAAAAGTAAACGAAAGCGAACTGACTGACTACTGTAAATAAACGCTTATAACAGCAACAGCGCCCAGGCACACGAGCGCGCGCTCACTTCCGGGAACGTGGGTAAGGATGGCAAAAAGGCTCAAAAAGTATATAAGTAACGTTAACGCCTAATATTACACTGGTTTTCATTTGTCTGTGTGGTTGAATTATTGTATTTCATTATGATATACGGTGCTGATATTTTAAGGACGCATTAGCTTGTATGATTGTTACTGTCTGTATGATAATACAAGTTACTATTCGGCGTAAAAAAAAACATTAATTCAACCGTGTCATATCTGTTTTGGTGTTTATGTTTTTTCCATTTAATATAAAGAGTCCCAGACTTTTTTGAAATCTCCCTAAAATGTAAAGTTAATGTTTAATGGTTTTTAAACACACATTCAACAGTTTTCAATGTTCATATTAACAGACAGGTAAACAAATAACATCTTTGGGTGTTAAATAATTTCATTTATCTTATTATTTGTTCAATTCGTATTTACATTTTGATCATTTTGCATTTATTAATAGCTTATTTTGTAGCACAAACATAAAATAATATAAAGCAGTGGGAGGTGGGCGATACGGTGGCTGAGTAGTACTGCCGTACAGCAAGAAAGTGGCTGGTTCAAGTCCAGGCTGGATCAGTTGACGTGTCTGTGTGAAGTTTGCATGTTTTCCCCATGTGTGGGTTTTGCATGCATTATCGCAGACCCGTAGCCAGTCTATTAAATGGCTGTAGGCCGATGTGTATATATTAGTGCTTAAATGTGAATAAAATATGTATATAAATCATATTTTAAGCACTAATTTATGTTGTATTTGCTTGTTGGTTGGTTATCATTACCACACTATTTGATGCAACAAAAATACTTCCTACATTTTTGTCAAAGTGCATATCATACAATTTTTTGTTCCTTTTTTAGGATTTGTTACTTTTATAATGTATTGAGATTAGAATTTAAGAAATATGAAAAAATACTTATTTTTAAATGGTAATGTATTTTCATTCTTCATAAAAAAACAAACACAAACAAAAAAGGGAATCTTTTAAAACTTGTTTTAAATTAAAAATTGTAGCCGCAAATAACCAACCGGCCAGCTCATTTCCTCAGTCAGAATTTGTCTGAAAAGCCTTTTTCTATAGTTTATTTAACCATTCATGAAGACATACAGTCAAAAATGAGACAAATGAGCTCATAGGGGCCATATTTAGGACTTTGTCAGAAGGGAGGTGGGTTTTTCGAACCACCCACACGCCCCAACTAAATTAACCATAGTGTATGTGTGTGCCTGAGTGTGTCTGGATGTTTCCCAGTGCTAGGCTGTGGCTAGAAGGGCATCCACTGTGTAAAACATACTGGATAAGATGGTGGTTCATTCCACTATGATGACCCATGATGAATAAAGGGACTGAGTCAGAGGGAAATGAATGAATAATATAAACCAGTGCTTCCATTGGCTCCTGTTTACTGGCACCAGACTTTTTAAAAAGCTTAATAAACTAAAATAAAATACCCAAACTTTGCTCATTTTTACACTTGTTTTTAATTGAGAAGATTGTTGAGAGAAAAAAGAAACAGAACTTGATTTCTCACTCTTTCTTAGTGTACATTTATTGATTGGATGATATATTGACTTTACAGGGTTGAACAGCATGGTGAAAAAGCAAAATCAACAAGTTGTCTACATCTGAATTGATCTGACAGATTTTTGTAATCCACCTGACATGGATGAGGACATCTGGATTAATGACATAACGACTACTTGAAAAAAAGGTTTGGTAGCCTAAACATAAATATGACCACATTCAGTGAAACGCTCTAAACTGTAGTGTAAAGAACAGAGCTCGGTTTTTTATACACCAGACAGATTATTTACATAGAAAACATATGATGATTTTGAAAAGCCCCTGAGAAAGAGAATAACTCAGTAATTCAAATTAGATTAACATGCAAAAGTAATATATATATATATAATTTTTTTAATTATACTGTCAATCCCACCGAATTATACTCTGTGATTCAATGCTCTCCAATCAAAGGATATTTGAATTGGTTGAAAGTTTCATTAGAAGACAAATAAAAGGACACACAAACGATATAATAACCTAACGTTTCTCAATGTACAAAGTATCTAAAAAGCAACAGAAGAACCTCAATGAAGGTCAAGCTTTTTTTTTGATTTGCAAAAACTGGATTCTACATGGCTTGTCAAAATTATAACCACACTCTTCAGACTGGTCAATAAATACCTGCATAAATTGTTCAGTGTTTATGCTTGTCGTTTGTATGAAGTACAAACATCATAACACAAAGAAAAAAAAAAAGGTAAATGTGTTTCTCGACAAACGCAAAGACCAGTTCATTTACAATGCCGATTTTAGGCTCACTTCAGTCAAATCTGCTCAATCGCAAATGAAGTGTGTTATTCAAGTGCCCTTATTAGTCACTTTATTGCAATCACTGTTGTAAAACAGTTTGTTTGATGGAAGACGGATATTTCTTCTAGTATTTTAGATTCCTTAACAGGTGTTTTGAATTTTAGTGTGAACACCTGTGTTAAAGTCAAACTGAATTTCCAGTACAAACACAACCCCCCAAAAGGCAAACATTAATCACGCTTTAAAGATACATCAAACGTTGTCTGAATCACACTGACATTAAATACATACTACCGCAACTTTTTTTTCCAACGCAAAAGCCTTGTTTAACATAATACTTCACACTTCACACCACCAGACGGCGCTGTTTCAAGACTTCCAGCCATTTATACACGTCGAGTCGGGCATCATTTGTCAACAATGAGGCTCAAAGATGAAGGATAATATACAAAGAACAGGCAAATATTGCCAAGAAATTTGATTGGCTGATGATCAGGCAAAATACAAATGACAAAATTTGATGCATAATGTAGTCAGCCAATCTTGATAATGAAAACTAGCCAGGCACTTCAAGACAACAAAAAAAGAAAGAAAATTCAAACAAATATTGAAGTCAAATACAGATACTAAAAACATACAGGAACTCATTTAAAAATAACACAATTTAATGCTGATATATAAATCTTCTGTTCGTCATACAAATGCTAATTTATTGATATAAAGGCTTTATATGATTCATTAAAAATCATATAAATAGGATTAAAATAGCTACTGTCCAGTTATGTGTTGATCCAGATCTTTAGAAGAAAGAAAAAAGGCATTAAGGTTTCAAAAACTGTCCTTCTTTCATGCATACTGTGTAAGACAAAAAGCATATTGCCAGGTTTTGTCACTCATAGTGTTTGTGGAAGCTTGATAAACTATGGCACAAAATGGACAGTGAATGATCTATTCACTGAGCGGGCATCTCTGTGTCTTCCTGAGCCACTGTACAGCTGTGGTTGCTGGTTTTTGCAGGTTCTGGGTCACAGCCTGATCGGGCCTCTTCTGACGGTTCCTCGGTTTGTTGTTCTTCCTGTTCGTCCTCATCCGGCAGAGCTTCTTCGGCAGAATTCACCCCCATGGATGTTTCTTCAGGAAGCTGCTTGGCATCGTCTTCCTCCATGCGTCCGCCAATCTCTTCCTCTTTGTGTTCAGCCTCACTCTGAACAGCTTCATTGAACTCTTTCTCCTCCAGCACTCCAGCTTCATCTTTTGCTCCATCTGTTTCTTCGTTCATTTCTGCGTCATCGCTCCCTTTTTCATCCGATGGTTTCTGGTGGACGCGTTGGTGCCGTACCAGACTGTGCTTCAGGGTGAAGGTACGATGACAGGTTTGGCACTTATAAGGTCGCTCACCTACAATAAAAAAGTCATTTTAGTTCCATCAACCATTATTTAAACCTATATGACAATGACAATTAAGCTTTGTTAACATTGCAGCCTTATACAAACTGTTATAGTTGAACAGAAATTTTAAAAGTGTACTTCATTTGATTGTGTGAGCAATCAGCCTCTCTACAGATGAAAAATAAGACTGGAAATTTTTATTTTGTCTATTGTCTGTGTTCAAAGTTATGAATAATAAAATGTCCACCTATAAAGGGATAGTTCATGTATAAATGAAAATTTGTCACCCTTGTTCCAAACCAGTCTGGTTTATATATTTTTGTTCAGTTGAACACAAAAGAAGGTATTTTTGAAGAATTATTTTGTTTTTATGAAGGTATTTTGTTTTTACAATGGCGGTATTATGGTTTGGAACAAGTCAAAGCTGAGTAAACGAAGAAAGAATTTTACAGATTTAAGTGGAGTGAACCTAAACCAATTAAGCTGTTGCAAAGAAAACTCTCAAGAATTGTGCTGATTCAGCTCATTTTAAATAAGTAGTTTGAACAAACAGCAAATGTCTTTTTTTTAATGTTGCGATCTATTATTTTTGCAGATTTAGGGTGCCAAACTATGCCGGGGTGCGTTTCCTAGTTTGTTTGACAAGTGTTCAGAATCGGGCCTAGGCATGGTTCAGTTGGCCGGCCCTGGCCCAGTTGGAAGAGGTGTGCCAGAGCACGGTTCAGTGAAGCTATGTAGGTACACTTTGTGGTACGCTTGTAGTGTGAGTGCGAAGCGCACCTGAGCCCGAAACTGAAGACGTGACGTCACTTTAAGGGACTGTTTCATATGGCTTTATAAATCCCTCTTACTTTTCAATGAACGCAAACTGTCATAGCTTATGAAAGACACAAAACCCTCACTGCACAACAGATGCACCTTCAGCAAACCTTTTAATACGCGCAGCACAATGACTTTTAAAATAATTTATGAGCGTCAAAAGTTGTGGATCTGTTCAGCAAAATATTAGACTGTGTGTCACTGGATCCCAAACAACTAAAATTATATAACTAAAAACAATCCCCTCTGTGCTGAGCAAGAGCACTTCTCTTCCTGTTAAACTGAACAGTCGCATCATGATGACATAAGGTTCGGATTGTAAAGATGCAGAGTGAGTGCAGGCCGCTGGGGGAGAGGGGAGGAACAACCGCACTTTGGCACGGTTTAAGGCATCTGTCCCTGGTGAGA